GTGTGCCACCATAAAAAATATCTTCACAACAGTAACCTCACAAGGAGTTGAGACCTAAAGAATGAGTTCAAGATCTTAATTGTTCATGTGAACATCATATTTAGGAGATGTTTCCTTCCTCAAGACAGTTCCCTACCTTGAAAAGGAATTCCTTACTGTCAAGATGCAGCCAGTTATTTCCAACCAGCACATTTTCAGCTTAGCCACTGAAATTCTTGCTCCAAACTATTGACCAACCAAGCTCTAGCAGCATACTGCAAATATACCAGGACAAACAAAAGTAATTTTATCTGCAACATGCCTTGCAAAGCTATTACAATTGTTTTCCAAGGATAACTGAATCTGCCTGAAGGCCAAAATAAAAAAGGATTTTTATATTTAGTACAAATTCCACTAAACGCAAACACACCCATTGCCGAGAACTACAACTTTACCGTTCTGTCCATTGTCACGTAAGCTTCCCAACTGGTTCTAGCTAGAATTTTTTTAGAACTGTTAAATTTTTCTCTAACTGCATTCCAGTTATTTTCCTTATTCACAAATTGCCCCAAAGTCCCTGGAGCCCTAGGAAAGTAATACAGCTCTTACCAGCAAGGGGAAAAAAAGTCTAACAATGATCATATTGATTGCCTGGGTTCGTTCCAGATTCTAAGGTCTGATGGAATTCAGCAGGATACAAAAGTACTGACATGTTAGCAACAAAATCACCTAAGGCTGCTGGGTCTATCTTGTGCAAAGCGCAAAATATCATCCAAAACAGTCCTTTGCTCTTAGAGAGAATAAGGTCCTCAGTAGCTTATTCTGCAATTTAGCAGGTATATGAGCACAACTAAAATGGCTAAAATTATAACAATGATTACACAGTCCAAAAAAGAAACAAACCATGAACAACCACCACCACAACTTAGATTGCAGAATGAGATAACTCACCGTAGCCAACTCGCCACAGCCAACTCGCCACAGGACAACTCACTGTAGGGCAATTCAACAATTCAATTTAATTATTTAAAATAGTTTTTAAAATATTTTAATTTTTATCATTCACATTTTATTTTGCCTCTCCTTTGGCATCCTTTCTTAATGATTCTATTTGACTATTTCTTTGATATTAGTGTAACTCTTGTCCCGTGGCAAGTTGGCCATGGCGAGTTGGTCGTGGCAAGTTGTCGTAGACCCCTTAGACTGTTCTTTGCTAATCCTTCTTGTCATTTGATAACCAAAGTGGTGGCCAAAAAGCCTGAGTCAGCCAGGCAGATCTTAAAGGCCTGGTGAAGAAATTCATTTTAAATCCATTACTATTACCATCTCTACTAGCCCTGATGGAGGGCTAGTAGAGGAGGTTCACCCTACTATAAGCGCTATCTATGAATCCTCAAAATAGTCAGAATAGAGCCAGAAATGGAGAGATATGTGGATAGACTATAGGTAGCACTTGACTTACAACAATTCACTTAGTGACTATTCAAAGTTACAACAGCACTGAAGAAAGTGACTTATGACCATTTTTCACACTTATGACCATCGCAGCATCCCCATGGTCATGTGATTTACATTCAGATGCTTGATAACTGACTCATATTTATGACAATTGCAGTGTCCTGGAGTCACGTGATCCCTTTTGTGAACTTCTGGCAAGCAAAATGAATGGGGAAACTAGGTTCATTTAATAACCATGTTACTAATTTAACAACTGCAGTGATTCACTTAATAAATGTGGCAAGAAAAGTCATAAAATGGGGCAAAACTCACTTAACAAATTTGTCACTTAACATAGATTTTGGGCTCAATTGTAATTGTATGTTGAGGACTATCTGTACAAAGTCTAGTTATCTTTTCCAGAAAATAGCAATAGCAATAGCACTTAGACTTATATATCGCTTCACAGTGCTTTTACAGCCCTCTCTAAGCAGTTTACAAAATCAGCATATTGCCCCAACAATCTGGATCCTCATTTTACCAACCTCAGAAGGATGGAAGGCTGAGTCAACCTTGAGCCGGTGAGATTTGAACTGCCGAACTGCAGCTAGCAGTCAGCTGAAGTAGCCTGCAGCGCTGCACTCTAACCACTGCACCACCACGGCTCTTTCATAATGAAAACTGAGATCCAACTTACTCAAAATGAAGTGAATTAGAACTTACTGAAATTAATTCTGGCAAGTTTAACATTTAAGTCTTTGCTTGCATTTCATTGAGAACTCTGAGCAGATTGGCTAAACATTATGTTTCACATGATTTTCTTTGTTTTTAATCCCTTTTATTATTTTCATATATGACTCTAGGCAGCAAACAAGCCTAATACTCCTTTCTCTAAATTTCCCCACAACATCTCTGATGTGAGTGTGTGTGACTTGTCCAAAGTTACCCAGCAGGTTTTTATCTAGGCTATTCATCATTCATAGAAATCAAGTGAGCGCCTTAATATAGGCTCAGAACCTGGTGACAATGCACTGATCTGGCATTTCATAGCACTGTTAATTTTCTTTCTTTTTTATCCCTAAATTTATTGTTAGTATTTAGAATGAATAGTCTGTTTCCTCCCCATCAAAGAGAAATATGAAAAAAGTGAAAAACAAAAATTGCCAGGTAGCAATAAAAAAGAACAGCAAATAAGAAATCTTAAAAAGAATAGTGCATACAAACACCAATTAATGGCAATAAAATATTCACTCGCTCTGTAATTTTCAGCCTATTTAATTGAAAGTAAACATCACTGAACTTCTTGTGCCTTCATAAGAGGCACTTACAACACAGTTAAGTGCCAGATGGAAAAAAAGTGTCTTTGTATTCCATAGGATTTACTCAGATGACTTTGTGTTGTAAATTGGTTTCTCACGTGTATAAATCAAACAGCTGTACCAATAACCAGTTATTTTATAAAAATTCTATTTTATTTAAAGCCTGGTTTTCATCCTACACTGACAGCATTTTAAACGAAAGTGCTTCAGACTATAGCTGAATGTGAACAAAATCCTTATTCAGAATTAACTTACCATGATTTATTCAATTATTACTTGAAGTATCTATTTTTCTGCAGACACATTTTAACTATATGCTTATCACATAGGCTGGGTCAGAAACATCTACAAGATTGGAGGGTTGTGTCACAATTAAAAAGCAGTGTTGCATCATAAACTTCATCCCTCCTGTATGTGTGGAATCACAATAGATGTACAAAAGAGGTGGAGCTTGTCTTACAACAGCATGATAATACCGTCATCATTTGCTCCCTTTCACAGGCCTGTGGATTCATACAATGCACAAGGCTAAAATGTGATTTGCTTGACTATAGTATAATGCATTGGGGAACACCTGCTTTAGGCTACTACATATTCTCAGAATCATGACTAAACACAGTGTACAAGTAAATATGTGTAGGACTGTGTTGTGACTCTCAAGCAACAATTACACTGCATTAAGTCATTGTTTCTTTATACAATGTTTACTAAATAAATCACAAATGGCTACATTCACATTTTGATTATGGGACTTGCCCATCCAGCCTTCCTCTAGAAACATACACAAGTGAGACTGAAGTCATACTCTCACTAAACATAGAATTGTTTAAACAGATGCAGCTTTAAATACCTTATTTGAAACCAATAAATGATCCTGTCTGCTGTGTCACCAACTTTTGTAGGATTGCAGAAAATGGGGTATTAAAATATGGGTCAATATTTTAAAAATATACCAGAATTATCTTCTTAAATTTCACTAAGCCATAACTCATTAAAACACAGTCATCTTGATTCTAGTGTGTTTTACTGTGCAATTAATGTAAGGTTCAAGTATCCCATGAAAATACAATAAACTGTAATCCAGTTAAGTATGGGCAGAAGCATTGTACAAACATACACAAGGCTTTTGGGCAAGGAATCTGCAAGAACAGACTTGGATAATTAGGAAAGTGCACTCCCCCTAAATCAATTTGACTCCCCATCATTTGGGTTTTACAACTTGTACCGTCTAAAAGCCTCAGCAATTCACAGTATTATTTTGTTTTTCCCACATATTTTGAATAAATGATTGGGTGAAGAAACTAACAACTCCTAAGCACTTTTTCAGCAAAAGCTGCGAAGGGGAGGAATTCTACCGCCGACTCCGCGCGATTTCCCATTTCACTCCTCCTCCGGTTTATCCCGCTTGGCTGAGAAGAGGCTGTCAACTGTCACCACAGCAGCACCTCCGCAAAGGAACCCAGGTGTCCAGCAAAATAGACAACGAAAAAGAGACGGCTTTCAAAGAAGACACCTAGGAAAATCGTCCTCTGGCCAAAGCTTTCCACACGCTTCTTCCCCAAAGGGAGCCACTGTTAAGGATCGATCGAGTGACCCCGCCTCCTCGGGCTGCACTGACAAGCTGAATGGCCAGAGGCACCCCTCTCGGCGAAGCCTCATCTTGGCAGATGGCCGGCAAAGCCATTTTTTTATTATCATTATTCCCGGGGGGTGGGGGACACGGGAGCGAAGGTTTCAGGCTAAAGAGCCGCCGTCTCGTAGCGAATCTGACACTCGACATGCAAGCTTTCTTCAAGGGAAGGACCCAGCAGGCTAAAGCAGGCCAAGATCTTTGCTCGGGTGCCTCTCTAACCCTTCCAACCTCCGTAGCCCCCACCCCCCCCCCCCCGCTTGCAAGCTCCGTTCTTTCCAACTGGGTCAAAGAAGACCCGAGCCCCAGAGGCGAAAGCACATACCCGCACCTCCGCCAGAGAAAAGGAGGCATTCGGACGGACCGGCAACTCGTTTGCTGGGAATGGAAGAATCCTCGATTTCGGAGCCGTTCCAAGGACAGCACGAGCCCCGTTCCGCCACTCGGCCTGCGTCCCTGATATGAGTGAGAAGAGCCAGCCGCCGCCCCCACCCCCAAATCCCCCAGCTCCTCTCCGTTCCCCGCTTTAGCTATTTTTATTAGCACTGGAGGGGTTGTTCAGCTCTCCCACATCCGAGTCGAGTAAGAAGAAAGAAGGCCCCGCCACAGCTAAAGCTCTGGGCGCTGCTTCTTACCGTGCGAAGTAGGAAGGAGTTAGGGAGGCAAGGAGAGCGCCGGATCCCACGTCGCTTCTTCCTGCAGCCCGCTCCCACCCACAGCCTCCCCTCCGCACGGCTCCTCCGCAAAAAGTCTCCGAAGGCGCTCGCTGCCCGCTTTCTCCTTGTCTCTCGCAAGCGCTCTGGCTTGGCTGGAGGACGAAGAGGAGGGGCAGCGGAGCTGAGGGGTGGGGACTCCGGGACGATGCCTCCCCCTTACTCTGGAAGGGGAGGGGGAGCGAGCGCCGCCCGGGGCGCGCGGTTCTTTGCGGATTAAGCTGCTGCTCCCTGCGCCGAATTTCTCATTCGCGGGTGGTGGGAGGTGGATGGGGCCCTCTTTGTAGCAGTCCTTCCAGAAGTCAACATGTTTTTCTGTCAGTGCTTCTGAAAGATGATCGCAAACTAGCCAGTCACATTGTGGCCTAGTCTGCATTGTATTAATTCAAAGTAGCAGGGCCATCAACTCTGGTCTGAAGTACTCTGGACTCCTTTTTCACCCATCTATCAACCGTCCAGCATTTTAAAACCTAGAGAAGGTAGCTGTAGGGCTTCCGGGAATCGTGTGAATCTAGAAAATGGGATAAATAATAGTTCTGTTAACCACTGTTAAGTGCCTGTGTGCTAACAGCCATGAAAAATGAGGCAAGATTTTAAAGAATATTGTGGAAAAGATGGCAAGAGCCAGTTTGGTCTAGTGGTTAAAGTGCGAAGCTGGAAAGCAGGAGCCCCTGAGTTCAAGTCCTGCCTTAGCTGTGAAAGCCAGCTGGATGACTTGGTGCCAGTCACTTTCAGCCCAACCCAACTCACAAGTTGTTGTTGCCGGGAAAACAGGAGGAGGAAGATGTGCACTCCACCTGGAATTGTTTGTAAAAAAAATAATATAGGCAGGATAAAAATAAATAAAATACTAGCTTTGCAATGTCATTTATTTAAGTTAAGCGATAATGGGGGGGGAGGGAGGTAGATTTCAGCCTTCTGCAGTAGACTGTGCTGTCCTCTTGGTCTGATTGTTATTTAGAGTAGAATTTTAGACATGCCTGAGGTAATGTTAAATTTTATTTTGCAAATAAACAAAATACAGTGGTCCTCGACTTAGAACAGTTCATTTAGTGGCCGTTTAAAGTTACAGTAGCATTGAAAAAGGTGACATAACCATTTTTCACATTTAACGACCGTTGCAGCATTCCCATGGTTATGTGATCAAAATTAAGAGGCTCAGCAACTGACTCACAGTTATGACAGTTGCAGTGTCCCAGGGTCATGTGATCACTTTTTGCTACTTTCTTATAAGCAAAGTCAATGGAGAAGCCAGATTTACTTAACAACACTAATACTGACACTAACTTAACAACTGCAGTGATTCACTTAACAACTGTGGCAAAAAAGAAATTGTAAAAGGCAGCAAAATTCACTTAACAAATGTTTCACTTAGCAATAGAAATGTTGGGCTTAATTGCGCTCGTAAGTTGAGGACTACCTGTAAATACTTTTATAAAATAGGATTTGCTTTATTTCATCCCCATGCTAGGGCAGAATTAATCATGGTATGATGTAAATTGCATTGTGATCTTATTGGCTGTGTTCATACAACATAGGAAATTGTAAACTAACAGCTAAGCATGTTTTGCTGAAAATCAGAACAAGGCATGCTATACCATTCTTTTCAGAGGCCATGGCAACAGCATTCTCCAAAGTTTCCAGAGTAAAGACCTCCTGCAACTTAGAGCTGCCATCAGTTGGGCATTTTTTCCTGAGAGAAACCTGGGGCTGAGGCAGAATGTTCATTTGACAAATATTGTACCATTTCAAACAATATTGAAGGAAGTGTGGGCAGAGACACCAGCTCCCCTTGTTCCCTTTTCCCAACTCTTAACAAACCATTGTCTTTTTACTGAGTTGAGGTTTATCATTAAATCACCAAATCATTTTTTTAACCATTTCAGAGGCTTATATGGACAAAACAGTACACACATGATCAGGAAGATATCACCTAGCTTATTTGGATACTAAACCTTGGAAAAGCCCCCTGCCCCAAATCTCTTTAAAACAAAATCTGTACAGAAAATCTCACCACTTTCCAAAGAGCACAGAGATAAGAATCCAATGGAATAACTTGTCCTAAAAAAGCCTGAATAAGCAGGAACACATTAAACTGCTACATGTTGTTGCACTAATAACTAAAGTATTAAGGTGCATAAATGGTACTCGGCTGGCTGAATTATTTGGATATTTGAGATATAAGCAGGTAAACAATAAGTAGAAGTAAAAAGCAATTCAAATCACATGCTTGGCACGGCAGCCATATTTTGTTAAAATCAACCTTGTCTTGCCATGAATGGTGGGGCTTCTCCCTAGCAGATGTGGTTAAGGTTGCAATCTATATTAAGCATACGTATTATAAAGGTGGGACAGACATTTTGAATTTAAACAAAACATTGGCTTGACAGAAATGTTGTGAGAGAGTTTAACTTGGTGGGCTCCTAATTAGTTTTCTGCAGAAAAGCTTTCAGGAGAAAAAAACAAGTAATGCATTTGGATCAATATTTGAGGAGCTGTCCATCTGAAAGCCCCCTGGTGATGGGAAGCAAAGCTTTACCAGAGGAGAAAACAAAACAAAACAATGGGAATCAGCCAAAGGGACCCAAAATATGGATGTTTCTTTAAAGTTGAAGAAAAGGGAGGGAAAGAAGGAAATCAGAGACGATGGACATTTGGTTGGTTGGACCACCCATCTCAAACCCCCTCCCTTCTCCTTTCCAACTTGTTTTTCAGGAACACCAGCCTCTAGCCTTGGGGATTGAGATATCAAAAGCTAAACCAGCAATGATCCAGGCTGCCTTGTGGGATTCCTTTGAACTGACAACCATACAAATAACTCTTGCTCATAACTGAGCAATATCTTTCCTGGCACTTGCCAGGACAAGGAAGATTCAAAGAGAAACAAATTAAACTGTAAAACAATCCGAAAACCTGTCCTTGAAAGTTCAGGTGACAATTTCTACAACTACCATTTGGAGCTGGCAAACTTTTGAAAAAGATTGATGATTATGGTGTGTGTGTGTGTGTGTGTGTGTGTGTGTGTGTGTGTGTGTGTATATATATATATATATATATATATATATATATATATATATATAGAATGAAAACAAGAATTATATTGCTAATTGTATAATTATGTTTATATTAATCTCAGAAGATGATCCAATTACTACAAAATTAGTAACATGTGGAAAAAATTGTATTATAAATATAATATATAATTGTATATTATAAATTATAAATATATAATTGTATTGTAAGTCCATTAGCTCCTGGAAATTTCTATGAACCTTTAAATAAGATAACAATGTGAAGAAATACTGACATATAATAAATTCCCCTTCATCTCCAAATCTGCTGAGTTGATCTCACTTAGTTAGAAAACTACATTTTCTCCTTCAGAGTCTGTTTGAGCAATCAAGCTCAAATAGATTGCTTGATTTCTCACTATTTGATTACTGAATGCTAAACATATGGACTGTCTTAAAATCTTTAATATTTTATGAAGTTATAATTAAAACTGCTATTTGGGGTAATTCTTGAATCATTGGCATTTGAAACAGGAAAAATATTGTGTATTGGACTTTGTCTTTAGTTGTGTTAAACTTTAGATTTTGTTTGTTTACACTAAGATATTGGCACCTTTTTATGCATTTTAAATAGGGTTTTGCTTAGAGCTAAGAGTTGAGATGTAGAAAATTGAGTTTTATTTATGTTAATTAATGTTAATATTTTAAAGCTCTGCTTGGATCTTTTGCTGACAATTGGATACAGAGAAGATGCAACTTATTTAATTTGCTTATTAATAAGAGATGGGTTATGGGATGAACACTGCCATGTTTACATATGCAATACCATAGCATGTTGGAGGCACCTGCTTGTGCACAATAAGCTATTTTGGCTATCTTCAAAATTTGGTTTTCTTGAAATTGGTAGATGTTGGCCATTTGATTGGGATTGTGTTCAAATAACATACCAAATCAGCAACCAGTTTGAACTAGAATGTGCAAATCTAGAAAATTAGGTTAAATCATAATCTGCAGTAGTTTAATAATAGGTATATATGTTTTAGAAATAGCCAGTGTGTTGGACTGAAGCCAGGAGGTTGATGAAGAACTGAATATTTCCCCCTAACAAACAGGATTTTATTACACTTGTTATGCTATTATCTTATACTAGTTTTGTGTATTGGCGTATGACCAATATAAAGTGTTAATAAATAATAATCTCTTCTTGGTCTTTTGGCTAAGATCAAAGGTAGTATCTGTTCTTGTCAATTTAATATCTAATACGTCGCTGTACACTACCCAGAGTCACTTTCCATTAGACATATAAATTTGATAAATAAATATAACTGTACTCTACTGTACTTGTTACCTAAAGATATTTTGTAAGATATCCAAACCAGTGGTGAAATTCACATTTTTTAAACTACCGGTTCTGTGGGCGTGGCTTGGCAGGCTTGGTCGTAGTGGCTTGGTGGGCATGGCAGGGGAAGAATACTGCAAAATCCACATTTCCTCCCCACTCCTGGGGGAAGGATCTTGCAAATCTCCATTCCCACCCTACTCTGGGGCCAGCCAGAGGTAGTATTTGCCAGTGCTCCAAACTACTCAAAATTTCTGCTACCGGTTCTCCAGAACCTGTCAGAACCTGCTGAATTTCACCCCTCATCCAAACCATTCCTTCAAAGATCTGAGTAAAAGGCTACAATTCCTAGCCATGTTCTCACTATGTTCTGAAGGAGATCCTAAGCCAGCAGCTTTCTACTCTAGTTATTCTGCTCTAATAATCTTTAAAAAACCCTTGACATTTATTAAGTATACATTAACATGCAACTAGAAGATACATATTTGTGCAAGCATTCATAACTGCGACCTTAGGTTCTATTATTGTGACCCATTAGTTCTATTTGTCCTTCATGGTAGTTTCATGCCTTGTTCCACTATGCATTTTAGATTCTAGTATTCCATTGCATTTTAGCCTGCACATCTGTTTTGGCTACCTTTCTTCCCAAAAAGGAGATTAACATAGAAGCCATTCATCCATTCTTCTTTATTTCTAATTTGGAAGCTAGGCCATGTCCCAAAAGTTGATCAAGCTGGAAGGACCTAAAAAGGACCTTAAAACACCCTCAATTAAAAAGTTTATTTCCTTATGCATCCAGTGAAGAAAATTATGGTTTCTGTATTTTTATCCAATTTCATTTAAAAATAAGATACAAAAGTCTCGTCATAGACCCAGCGTCTTGTCAAGCAAGAAAACCTCTATATTTTCACACATACTAGCCTAAACAGTGACTTTCAGATTACCGTTTGTAGTATAGTGATCATTTTCACAGAGCATGCTCTGCTAGTAAAATCTGAGGACAATGAATTGTGAAAAAAATCCATGCCCCTCTTCACTTGGTGCAAGACCGAGACACAGATGTTAACAAAAGTGCACACATCTGAATCCTTAGATATATAAAAAAAGAACTGACAGCATCTGATATTATTGAAGAAAGAAATTCTGACAAAGATATGCTTCAGAATACTGTTACAAGTATGCATCAAGTTCTTTGGTTTCATAATTCAAGACCACTGCCACAAAAGAATGAAACAGAGTGAGAAGATAAGGCTTTCAAGGAGATGAAAGTTGAGAGAAGGTTCCTTACAACCAGTGTTGACATACTTTCTTTATCTGTCCTCCGTGACTCACTCTCGCAACATACCCAAGTTGAGCAATTGGCACGCAACAACTTCTGCTGATAACTCAGCTCATTTGGACGGCATTCCTGTGAAGCATGTAGTGAAGGACAGAGAATAGATAGCTTATTCAAGACTGCTTTACATACTTACGTAGAAAGCACCATCGCGGTATCTACATTTGGTTTTTTATACAAGTTGCAAGTACCACTATGTCTATGTATAAAATCTGTCTTGACATTTCTAGAAAATGGCTATTTTTTCCATCTTATTCTGAACTGCTTGAGAATGTTTTTCAGATTTCTTTTGGTGTATCCCCTCCCCATTTTCTTATTGGAAGGTAGCAATGGGTAATATTGCTGGTGCTGCCCATTTCTCTTGAGTAACCAATGTTGAGGAATTCGCAGAGCAACCCTTGAGTAGCAAGGGTATGCACATGAAAGCGACTGAAAGCAGTTGCGAATAAACACAGCCAACACACAGATATACTGAGTTGTGTTTACTTTCAGGTAATAGTAATAAGGCACAGTCCAATAAACAGTACAGGTCATACACAGATAAAGCAGTAGATAGTAAAACAATAGTCCAGGGATGTTCCAATAACAAAGTCTTCTTACCAGTCGTCGTAGTCATACACAATAAACAGTTGCAAACAGTGGCAAACATAGCACAGAGCAGTAACGATCAGCAAAGAGCAATAATAGTCAGCAAAGAGAAACAAACCATGTTTCTAGCTCCCTCTTAAGGACATTGGCTACAGAGCTAACCAATCAGGACACAGTATGATGCAATTCAGCAATACAGTCTTAAAGCTATTTTGAGGGTTTATATATTGCCAACCCAACAAGTTAGGTAATTATCATTTCCGAACAATATATATATATTACATAAGATTGTTTTCTTTTAACATCCATTTCTTGAGTATCTTTCTATCACTGTGATTGTCTATTCTCCTCAGATTGAAGAAGCTCAATGGAAGGAGTTCTATCATGATCTCTTCTTTAGGATTTAATTGAAATTTGGGGTGCCTGCAGAGTATTGAAGATACCATAATTAAAGATGGAAGATGCAGAAATAAACCTTGACCACAACACAATAATTTCAAGAATATTAATTTTACTCATTCATTCCACTTAAATTATTTTCTTCTCTGGAGGAAATGCTCAATGATTGAATAGAAAAAAATCTAAGATCTTTTTTACATAGTACTAATGTCTATACTTAATTGGAACACTGATTAAACACACATATATATGAGTGAATAATATCTCTGAATCACATGGAATTTTCAAAAGTATTGTTGAGACCGTTGTAGTTGCTAAGTGCCTGTACTACTTTAATAGATTAGCAAATATCAAAATAGGAATATTAAAAGCTGCCTTACCTCCATATTTTTAACCCATCCAGACCAATATAACAGTCTTTCTCCTGTCTCTCAGGAACAGAAGGGTTCAACATTTTCTGTTCCCTAGTCCTGTAGGAATTGAACATAAGCTCTTCTGCAGCAAACCATGTTAAGATCAGAGAGACATGGTAGAGATCATACTTATCGGTTAAAAAGAGATAACAGAAATTTAGGAAGGGACAAAACCAGTCCAATACTCCTAACAGTTCCTGCAAAAGGAGGCACAACTTTCTAGAATTCAGTACCATTTTGAAAAGACTTGCCAAACCTACTGGGTCAGTTCCTGAGATCACATTTAATTGTTACCCTATTATTAGTGGACTATAAAGTGTTCTTGAGCAATGTGCTATTATGAACTGTTCAAAACCATGGTGAAGTTGCAGCTAGGACTGATATGTGAAAGTATCAGAAGGAACTTCAAAGGCCAAGTGGAAACTGCCCTTGTATGAATCCATGTATGTTTGTAAATAATAATTTTATAAAAATCCATTCTTTATTGTTTAGAGAATTGTATGAACTCAGCCAATTGTTTATTTCATAAACTGCTTAAATAAACTCTAGCTGAGCATTGTTTAAACTTAAATAAGACATTGTTTGTCTTATTTTTTAGAGAAAGAAAAAGAATAATGTGTTTTCTTATAGAAACTATAGCTTTATTCCTCACACAATTATTGTAATATCTGATGCATAATATCCTTAACACATTCCTTTCTATAAATTGTTTCTGCACTGCGAGGTAATCAGCACAATCCTCTTTCGGTTTACTTTGAAATTAATCTCACCAGCCTTAGCTTAATTTGCAAGAACATATGAATTTAATCTTATTTTGTTTCTTAAAATTTATAGCAAATTACTTTATAAAGTGTTAAGATATTTCACTTAATAGCTGGAACAGTAAAGTATATAATGGGCCAGAATGCATAGTTATAGTGGATTGGTTGGAGAGTACGGGCTCCTGCATGAGGCAATGTACATTATGATTGGTTGCTGGGTGAGAAGGGGGAATTTCCCTCCCCCCCGCCTTTTTCCTCTGTGTGCTACTTGATGATTTACCTCATGATATATTGATGCGCCTGACTATGTTGTTTGCTGTGTATATAGATGTAAAATATATTTATTTATATAAAACTACGACTTCGTGTCCACATATCTGGCTCCATTTGGACACCTGCTGTGCACTTCCCTGATATAAAGTGAGAAAATGAAGTTTGGTGAATAGACCATTGTAACGCTTAATAGTTAATGTTTTATTGAAACAGGAAAGAGAACCAGAAATAAGGTGCAGCATTATTTCTTGGTCTCTCTATGATTACCTGGAAAAAAATGACATAGCCTTTATGCGGCTTGGAAACAATCACATGGTTTGCAGCTTTAGATTCAATTAACAAATTGCAGTAAATAAGACATCATATTTGCATGGACAGGAGTAAAAGAGCTCAAACTAAATTAATGTCATACCTATAATTCTTTCTCCTCAAACTATATAAAACTAAGTATTAAAAATAAGATGCAAAATATTGGGTATTACTATCAATTATATGACCAAGAATAATTCATAAATATACACCCAATATCCTGCAGGAGAATAACTGTAGCCATTTTAAAAGGGGTGATACCAAGAGAAAAGTGAAGTTTATTTAATCTATGTCTAAATAATATGTATTACACAGAGTATAAATTCAGTTTATAAAATTGCTGTCTGTATTTCATATTCCCACTTTCTCCCTTATTATAAACCTCAATTCTGTGCAACTTTTCATGCATTTCTGGGTGTTGCAACCAAAGTAAGAAAGGCACTTGCTTAAAAATTTTTGCACTATGTTATATAGCTTTATCTGATAACTTTTTCCCGTCCAGAACTTGTCTAATTAGTAATGGATCCTGTTCATAGTATATCTCCTGAAGTTGCATGACAAAAATATCTTCCATATACACTTGTTTAAATTAATTCTAAATCAGGGTCCTGTTAAAAAAAGTAGTTAGAGTGAAAAAAATAGCCTTGTGTTATGTCTCTGTCATGCATGGGAACTTACCGGTCTTGCAGCCCAGTGGAAACTGCACAGGGACAATAATTTATGCGTTCCAGGTTGAGCAACTGCAGTTCTTTGAAACTGTGCCATCCCAAGGACTGCCTTTATCACTCCCATATGGAAGAATTATTCACTCAATCATTGCCTCCACAAAGTCCTTTCAAAACAACAACCCTGCCCATAGTCCAATGAACTTACACAGATGATCAAACGCAGATGAACCACAAACTTTAAACCTATAACTAGAAAGTGGGCAAATAGTTTCCTATGCATTAAGCTGGAATTGTAGAGAGATGGGATTTTTTAAAAACATATTTACAGTATTTTCATTTATCAATTAAGATAAAATACAGAAAAACTGTGTTATGCATAAAAATAGCGTCAAACCACAGGCTAATTGAAATTTAGATGGAACTATATTTGTATTTCAGAATAATTCACAAAATGGTTCCAACAGGACCTTGACATGATCACAGAAAAGGCATATTAAATCCAGTGTTATGGGAGCAGTCTAGCTTTTTTTTTTTGTCATCGCCCCTCCAATTCTATAGAAATATCTAAGATACGTCAAAATGGAGCATAGCATTAAACTAATTTTAAAACTGTGTGTTCTTGCTTCAGAATTTCTTTTTGAAATGAATCAAGGCCCACCTAGTCTTGTATGAATCAGCCAAATATCAGGTGCTTCTGGAAGTTGGCCAAATGATTCATGGTCAATCGTCCAGTTTGTTTATTTGTGTCAGAACCAATACTATTAAAATACAATGCAACATAAAATTTAAAATATAAAACACAAGATTAAAATACGTACAAGTTAAACAGATCTTGCCCAGAAATTAACAACATTAATTGCATTGAACTGCACTGCCATGAGGTCTCAAGTGTACACTGATCAGGACACAAAGGGCAGGTATACATATGTGTTGTTGTCTGCATGTCACCACAAAACCATCCACTATAAAATATAATATACAATACAAATATACAATCCCCATTGTTATATTACAAGCACAAATACGTGCCTGTGTAGTTGAGTTAGTCCTCAACCTACAATCATTCATTCAGTGATGTTTCAAAGTTATGATGATGCTGAACAAATGGAGATTATGACTGGTCTTTAGAGTTTATTTATTTATTTATTTATTTATTTTATTTATTTTAAATTTATATACCGCCCTTCTCCCTGAGGACTCAGGGTGGTGTACAGCCAGAATTAAAAAACATAAAATACAAATATTAAAAAACAATTAAAATATATATAAATTTGGCCCAAAATTAAAAATACAAACCAATTAAAACATTTAAAATTTCTTCTTAAGCCAGCCCGGCTTGCTGGAAAAAGTGGGTTTTAAGGGCACGGCGGAAGGCACTAAGGTCTTGGATTCTCCTTATCTCTGGGGGCAACTGATTCCAGAGGGTAGGTGCCCCCACAGAGAAGGCCCTCCCCCTGGGGGTCACCAGCCTACATTGATTGGCTGATGGCACCCTGAGGAGGCCCTCTCTGTGGAAGCGCACGGGACGATGGGAGGTCGTCGGTAGCAGCAGGCGGTCTCGAAGATAGCTAGGCCCGATGCCATGGAGCACTTTAAAGGTGATAACCAGCACCTTGAAGCGCACCCGGAAGACCACTGGGAGCCAGTGCAGCTCGCGCAGGAGCGGTGTTACATGGGAGCGCCATGCTGCTCCCGTCACTACCTGCGCTGCTGCATTCTGGACCAGTTGGAGCCTCCGGGTGCTCTTCAAGGGGAGCCATTCCAACCATTCCAGTACTCCCATAAGTCATGTGATCATGATCTGGACAATTGGCAACTGGTCCATATTTATTTATTTATTTATTTATTTATTTATTTATTTATTTATTTATTTATTTTTATTTCTATACCGCCCTTCTCCCGCAGGACTTAGGGCGGTGCACAGCCAAAATAAAACATCGTATACAAAATTTAAAAAACAATTGAAAAACAATTAAATAATTTTGGCCCAAATAATTTAAAACAACCCAAATTAAAACTGAATCAATTAAAACTGAGAGGACGGGATCAAGCCAGCCCAGCTAGATGGAATAAGTGTGTTTTTAGGGCCCGACGAAAAGTCCGGAGGTCTGATATCGTGCGTATCTCAGGGGGTAGGTCGTTCCAGAGGGCTGGTGCCGCCACAGAGAAGGCTCTCCTCCTGGGGGTCGCCAGCTGGCACTGTCTGGCTGACGGCACCCTGAGGAGGCCCTCTCTGTGCGAGCGAACCGGCCGGTGGGAGGCTATTGGCGACAGAAGGCGGTCTCACAAATACCCCGGCCCTAAGCCATGGAGCGCTTTAAAGGTGATCACCAACACCTTGAAGCGCACCCGGAAGACCACAGGAAGCCAGTGCAGCTCGCGCAGGAGAGGTGTCACGTGGGAGTGCCCCGTCGCTCCCATAATCCCCCGCGCGGCTGCATTCTGGACCAACTGCAGCCTCCGGGTGCACCCCAAGGGGAGCCCCATGTAGAGAGCATTGCAGTAGTCCAGGCAGGAAGTGACGAGTGCTTGAGTGACCGTGCGTAGGGAGTCCCGATCCAGAAAGGGCCGCAACTGGCGTATCAGGCGAACCTGATAGAAAGCCCCCCTGGCCACGGCCGTCATATGCTCTTCTAAAGACAGCCGTGCATCCAGGAGGACGCCTAAGTTGCGAGCCCTCTCCGTGGGGGCCAATGACTGGTTCCAGCATCCCATGATTGTCATTTGCAATTTTCCCTGCTGGTTCCCCAGAAAGTTGGTAGCAGGGATGGTCACAAGTCACTGGGAGGGATGGTCACAAGTCACTGGGATAAGTCTTCCCTACCTGTGCACCCTTCCTCACATCCTCATTATGCTGGCCCTTTATGCAGCCCCTCACACCCTACCTGAACCATACCATGCCTCTTGCATACCCTCTTCCACCCTTATATACCTTAGCTGTCCCTCCCTTGCACTCTCACATAGTGTCTCAACCTGGCACCAGCTACTTACCTTCCTGCCAGACTGGAACTTGCAACTTCCTGCTGGCTTCTCCACTGACTTTGGTTATAGGAAGTTGGCAGGAAATTGCCTCACCTAATGACCAAGGGATTCAGTTAAGCACGGCAACTGGGCCAACTGCATCATTTAAAAATGGAAATTCTGGTCCCAATTGCTGTTCTATGTCAAGGACTACTTCTATCCCTAAATGAACAGAATCCACAGAGTAGCAATGAATAAAGTTTTACTAAGTACCTTTCCAAACAATTTTTGCTAGGAATATCAAGATTTTCAGAATGTATTTATTTAAATTTCAATGCCACCTGACTCCTCAGTGAAATTGGGTGGCTTACAAATAAAAGAGGCCTAATGCATATAATAAAAACAGAGCTGAACAGAAGATGAAACACCCAATCTTAAATTAAACTAAACAAAACTAACCAGGGCTGGCTGAGGAATTCTGGGAATTGAAGTCCACAAGTCTTAAAGTTGCCAAGTTTGGAGGCCCCTGTCCTAGATAAAAGAGCTTTCCAAGAGGATGGGAGAGGCAGACCTTGGAGAGCACCCACCAATCAAAAAAGACAACATGAGTTAGTTGGTTCAATGATCTTGTTCATTATGTAGCAGTTTATTCTTAAAAATATAGGTGTAGTGCAGTGGTGGGATTCAAATAATTTAACAACTGGTTCTCTGCCCTAATGATTTCTTCCAACAACCAGTTCACCCAACTGCTCAGAAAGTTAACAACCGGTTCTCCCGAAGTGGTGCGAACTGGCTGAATCCCACCACTGATGTTGTGCCATTAACACAAGAACAGAGAAAGAAATGGAAGTGGTCAATTAAATACATTTTGTATATTTTTGGCATGAGAAAAATATGTAAATTACATTCAGTAAAATTATATTAAAGTCAGGTCACACAGACCAAATAAAGGAGGGACATATAGAACTTTTCCAATATAGCTCCAGAATACACTTACCTCTATTCTGAGTTCAAAACACACCTCCAAAGTATCTCCTTCCTCAGCTGATTTGTTAAAACCTTCCTGCTCTTATATTTTGTTAGAATGGAGGATGGGGAACCTGTAGCCCTCCAAATATTGCTGATCTACTGTATGTTTCTCAATTTATCACTGCTTGGTTTATTTTGTGCCATCAGGTTATTGTCATTTTTAGCAACTATATTTTTCAGAATATGTATCCCCAACCTGGTCCTTAAAATGGTGGATTGATCACTGCTGTAATTAATTCCATCCACTTGCTGCTGATTAGGGTCTTTGAGTAATGAGTACAAAACATAATAATTTGATCCTGGTTATCTTTGCCTCAAATGAGAGTTCTTAATTTTTTTTAATGTACATTTGTTGTTTTCTTCATTATCCTTGGATTTCAGGAGTCTTCTCCAACACCAAAGTTCAAAAGCATAAATATTCTTTTTATCCTGCTTATTTGAAGTTCAGCTTCCGTTTCCACAGTGTCATAGGAATAACTGAAAAACCACTGCCTGCATAATTCAGATCTTTCTAGGTATAGGCACATCATAGCAACTATATTATCATTTTCAAGGTCTTCTTTGCTGCTCTGCCAAATATTAATTTGCAGCATATTTCTTCATTGCTGGGTCCTGCAAGTTATAAACACAGTGATTACTCTTCATCAATATCTAGAGGTCAGAGATTTCTAAAATGATTTATGAAATAATTTGCTTTAGAGCTAAAATTAAAGGAGAGTAGCAGATTTCTTCTAGGTAACAACCTGGCACAAATTCATTCCCCCCACCCCCCGAACTGATTTAAATTAGATTTTGTTTCAAACATCCCTAGTACCAGGGAGGCTATTCCGTAAAATAGGTACTGCTATGAGAAGCTGTGCATCTAGACTTCTATCCTCCAGTCCTTATGGCAATAAAAACTTATACTTGCTCCCTTTTAGAACACCCCAAATAAGCTTCAGGAGACAGCTGCAGATGGTCTCTGCCATAGAACAACAAGTGCATCATAATAGGATAATTTGCATTATCCACATTGCTTTTAACTGAGATGTGAGTGGGCATAGAGTGACTGTTTACATGGCATACTGAACCAGAAACTATATTAGCACATTTTAAATTAGTGCATTATGTAAATCCTGCTTGTGTGCTTAACTAAAGGTTCAATATGTCATATAATTGCAGTAAATCAAATTAATTCCATAAACTATGGAATAGTGTGCTCTGCACATATAACCACACTCCTTCAGGGCAAGCTAATGTCAGTGTCCATGTCCATATAATTTTTATGTAATTAATTTAAAAATTAGGAACCAAAATGTCAGTTTCAGGCCACTACAAGGAAAGACTGAAATCAGGTCAACAATCATTTTATGAGTTCAGTCATTTACTGTTTTAAAAAAGATTTCTTTGTTCTATTCTTGAGAATATTTTACAAAATTGCTAAAAAATGTTGATGAGCAGAAATGTCAGCTCAGATACTGTACACTTTATGTTTTCAAAGTGTTTTTATAAAACTTTAGGTTTTATCAAATAAGTTTGCTACAGTGATCAATGAAACAATGATCAGGTGAAAAATGTAGTTAAAATGCTTAAAATACATCTGATTAATTATTTAAGAGCATAACATAACAAGCACTTTGATTAGCAGCTGGAGTGTGTGTAAATGATAAACTATATTGAACTTTTTGCCAAGAGAAATGCAACAGTAGTGACACCTTGTGGTAATTAAGCATATTACATAAAGGAAAGTGCAAAATGATGCATCAGTAAAAAATCCCAAAGTTGCTTTTTCAAGAAGCAACTGGACCGGGGTGGGTACTACTTACCTTTACTACCAGTTCGCAATGGAAGCGCACACATGCACTTGCTTCGCTCGCGGATCCACTTCTGCACATGTGCAGATTGTCAATTATGACATCCAGGCCGGTGAGGTGGAGCCTCCTGCCGCTTTTACTACCGGTTCTAAAGAACCGGACAGAACCAGGAGCAATCCATCACTGAACTGGAAAGTCCACTTGCCTCTTGAAAAAGCACCTTTAGGACAATCATGTCCTGGATGACTGAGAACCTCCATATACACTAGGAGAAAATATAATTAATAAAAGACAGTAAAGAGAAATTGGGATTTCATTGCAATCCCTAAATAAAAATGAGTAGTATCCATGAAATAGTGGCATTTAGGATAGGGGTGTAATAAAGAATTTTGTAGCTCTTTAAAAATAAACTTATTGCAAACTTTCTATTTTACTAAACATTGCTTTCTGATGTCATTTTGCTGCTAATATTACTCTTACCGCCATAGCTGTAACTATGCAGAAACATTCACAACTCTATAGTCTCCTATATTTTGTTTTGGTTTTTATATATATATATGTGTGTGTGTGTGTGTGTGTTTTGATTCAAGAATGATATATATATATATATATATATATATATATATATATATATATATATAGCATCTACTTTATTCCTGAATCAAAACACTTCACACTTCTGAAAAATTCTATTGCATATCATTTTTAAAAGTATTTTTAAATGACTCAGGTTTATTGTATGATATTCATTACATTCTTACACATTGCATGCTTTTATTAGAGAAACAGTAGATATTATTCAATCATCTGAAATAATACATGTCATAGACTGCAATGAACAATTTTGTTAATACAATTATGCCAGTTTTGTCCATTAGCTTTAATATTTTCATAGAGACATTATAAAGTTTCACTGCCTTGCATTATTCATTTTAACTGCTCATATCATTTATTTTCTTAATATTTTCTTAATATGTAAGAGCTTGTACATGTATCATTATGATATGGTGGTTTTTGTCATTAAAAACCTGTTCCATAAATGCTCCTCATGTATTTTTTTCCTCCATCTTTAGTGTATTGGTATTTTGAGTTTTATGAGCAGCTATTTATTTTGTTATACATGTAAAAAAAATCCCTTCTTTCTCCTATGGGTGATATGCCTCTTCCTCAATCTCAGGTCTGCTACTACAGGCCTGGGAGTTTGAGAGTTCTGAGTAGTATTTTAGATACTCCTAAAACTGCATTCTTAGACAGAGTGCTCTGTTGTTGTTCCTGAGATTTGTTGCAGCCACTCTCCCAACCGGAGTCACAGACCCAAGTTCTCCTACACCACTGGGACCATTTTGGCCTTTACTTACCATATCCTCTCTAGTTCTTCCTTCAAGCCCTGGTACTTTCCCAGTTTCTCATACGCCTTCCTGATGTTGCTATCACTTAGCTACGTCTATCACCACTGCTGTCTTCTGCTCCTTATCTACTACCACAATGTCTGGTCATTGGCTAGTACCTGCCTGTCTGTCTATATCTGGAATCCCATGGGATCTTAGCTCTTTTATTCCACAACCTTGTGTGAAACCTTCCATTTGCACATGAGAGGGTATAATCCATACACTGCCCATGTACAAATGCCAGCTATTTAGTTGCGCCATTCAGTGCATGCTGTTCCTGCCTGTATCTTATACCCTGCCACTATATGTTGGACTGTCTCCGAGTCCTCTTTGTGTAATCTGAACTCAGGTCTTGTTTAGTGTGGTAGATCCCTGCTCCTATGGATCTGATGCTTAGTTCCTGTTTTTATGCTTCTGTGATCAGTGTTGTCTTTAGTCCAGCCATTTCTAGCCCCTCGTAGGATTTTCTAATGTCTGCCAGTTCAGCTATGTGTCAATGGTACATCTCATGCAAGGTCTTATCTTCCGTGATCTTCCTCCCATATCTGTTGCTGCCTGAATTGTCTCTACACCTTCTCTTTGGGTACCATTTTATTGATGTTCTGGATGCTCTGGATTTTGTCTATAACAGTGGCTTTGACATTCACCAGACCCAGCCTGAACTTTTGTTGGATGATGTAATCTCTGGGTGTTGGACTTAGGGTGAAAACCTCCATACTTTTTCAAGAGCTCCTGGGTCTTCACAGCAGATTCCATGGCCTGCTTATTACACTGGCAGGGTATCTGATTACTGGCAGTTCATACAAATTGATGGCATGGATCTTGTTCTTCCCATTGAGCGAGCTCTTAGGTCCTGACCTATCCTTAGGTGGTATATGAATGACACTGTCTTTCTTGCCTTCTCTTGATTCCCAAGTAATTGTGGGATACCAAGGTACTTGTATGTGGTCTGTATGCTGCTATGTGGCCTACTGATAGTTCCATCCCATTAGTCTTAACTACTTTCCGTCTCATGACTATCACCCAGCCATACTTCTCCAGTCCAAATGACATCCCAATGCCCTCAATGTAGATCCATGTCAGCTAGATCAGGAAGTCAATATTTTGTACATTTCTGGCATACAGCTTGATGTCATCTAAGTAAAGGGGTTGGCTGATGGCAATTCTACTCTTGAACATGTATCCATATCCAGCCCTTGTGATTATCTGGCTGAGGGGGTTCAAATGTATGCAGAACAGCAGAAGGGACAGCACATCAACTTGGTATACGCTGCACTCAATGGCCACTTGTACGAGTTCTTCCTGCGTTGACTTCCAACTCAGGATACGAAGAGGATGGAATCTAAAGAAGCTGGACTAACCAACTGTGGCAGGTCTTGATTTATTTTCTCTCAGTGTTAGTAACAAGGATAATACAAAAGGGCAATTCCTTCCTTTTTTTCATTTAAATAATTTATATGCTGCTCACTCTCTTTGTGGTTCTTGGTAGCTAAAATATCCATAAAAACAATATTCCAAAATATCAACCATAACATTAATTAATTAATTGATTGATTGATTAGATAAGTCTACTGTAACTGATTGCATTTTTTTTTATTTTGGAAATGTTCTTCCCACTTTCTTTTCTAATTGTTTTAAGCAGATGCTGTTGAAAACCAGCAGGGAGAGCTGTTGTTCGTGCTGGATACACAGTACATGGTCATTGTCTTAAATACTGAAGGTAGACATTCTAAACTTACACAAACCAAAAACCTCTCTCAGCCTAATCTTTATAGGTATTTCATTAAGTCTGAGGGTGCATGCCTTGAACGGAGCATGCATTTGTAGAATTTGTAGAAGAGGGAAAACAGAAAAATCTTTCATTTAAAAAAAAGTTTTTTCACTTTGTCAACATAGCTTCTTGAAAATTTTCAAGCTTATTGCAGTAAATCTTTATTCTCTTACCAGAGATATGAACAGAACTTATTTCTTTTCATGGGGATTCAAACCAAAAGTTGATTTCATCAACAGCATTTAACAGTATTTCCAATACCTACATTTTTCAAGCTTTGTATAAAATAATCCAGTGCCTTTTTCACATCTTGTGCTTTCTATAGAAGTAAACTGCCAAATACAATAGAATTTGCTTCTTAGCAAATTTGCATAGGATTAAGTATACATTATGGAGGTATGATATAATTCCACATGCCTTCCTTTTTTTGAGACTCCCAAATGTTTGGTCACTGTGGATTTTCTAGAACCAGTAAATGTTTTAAAATCCACAATTCTGCTTTTCTTACATGGCTTCTTTTCTCCCCTCTCTCCCTTCTCTTCCAAATTTCTGCATTCTTTTCCTAATGTGGGTTCCTTTTTGTTTACCATAGTTGGACAGGATCTCTAAATTCTGATATCAGATTTCCAATTGTTGGAAGGAAAATCCATCTGGTTCAGTTCCAAGGTGGGAGAAAAATGCTGGAAACAACATGGAGGCTGATTGGAAAGAAAGTTTAATGATGAACAGAACTAACAGTAGTCCTGGATCAGCTGACAAAATGGAGGTGAGAGTGGGTGAGTTTTTATACCTTCTTTGGACTTTGCATTTGAACTTCCTGTTCCTGTGCAAAAACATGTCCTTTAATATTCTATTGGCTGTTGTCAGATTCCTATGGGGTCATGTAGGGGTTATGTACAGTATGTAGGGGTCACAGTTGGCTCTATAGGCTTTATAGGCAAAAGAGGAAATGCAAATCTTAGATGTTTGTCTGAGCTAATCTGGTCAACCTTTGTCTTATTGTTTATCTGAGCTCCCAGGTTTCTGTGACTTTGATGTTTGGGCTACTGTGAAGTGGCTTGTGTTCTGAAAGGATGTTGGGCAATTCCTATTGTGGCTAATGACTTTCGTCTTGTGTTGGATCTTGGGTGAGGGACTGCTTCTAATCCTATCATTCTGCCTCTGTCTGCATGGCGTTTTGAAATATCCTGTCTTGAATGGATTTCTGCCTGCAGTATTTGCTTTGCTTATGAATAGAGCCATCTATATAGCTATCCTCTTTCAATAAGCTCTTTATCTCTTAAGTGCTGGCATCTGCTGTGGGCTATTAAGAAAAACTTGGGGGCTGCTTTCTGTCTTTAAGAGCATGTTACTACATTTCTCCTTTAGGAGAATATAATATTCTGCCTTTTTTAATATTTCCCAAAATATTTCATTCTTCTGGGGTGGGGGGGTTTCCCACACGTATGAGTTTTTGCATCACCCTTTCTGTACTTTTTTAACTTACTACTACCCAGTGGTTATGCTAAGTCACAATCAAATGGAATCACATTTAATCACATTCATTGATTAAATGAATTAATCCAGTTGTCCAAGTTCTTGTTAACATGATGAACCATAAACTACTTAATAGCAGAGCTATCCAATCACATTTCAGGTGGTACATTGCATAAATCCAGACATTACATAGGAGCACAGTCATTAGGCAGCATTACAAAATAAGACTCCCTTCCTGCTCTGCTGTGATTTTGCAGATTTTGCACAAATATACAAAAACTTTGTTGTCCTAAATTTTGCTATCTATAGTTAAATAACTTACCAACCTGATAAGTAAAACAGCTATTTATACAATAAATCTTTTCAATTTTCAAACTTACAGAATTAATAAACTCTAAGCAATACTAAGACTATTTTGGTTTTATTTATCAAATTTCTACATCCCTATATCTTACCTAAGCACCTAAGTATGATTCTGAAAACTATGATTCAAAGGACAGAAAATGTGAAGGTAATACAATTTCTGGATTTGTGAATCAAGGGCTGGAAAGCTGCCTAGAAGCCTAAAGCCTGACATATAAAAGTGTCATTTACTGAGTTTTTCAAATAAGAGCAGTATAATTCATAAGT